TAACTGCCATGATAGAGGTACAAAATGTTTAAAAGCCAGATTTATCTCATTAATGGGGTATATATGGTTTATAGGATGTAATCTCTGGAAGTAGAAAAAGGTCATACATTAAGAAAAACTGAGGGGAACTTGTTCTAAATTATAGACATTACAACTTAATAACTTCATAATATGAATTATTTGAATTCATATAAAAATACATAAATACATCTGATATTTTAAACAGCTTCTAAAGGTCTTTAAAAAATCATCATTTTCTAATCTGGATGCTTGCAAATAGTTTTCGACTTTGAACTACAACAATTACTAAACTAAATGGTTAGGTTTAAGTGTTCAATAGAAAATTTTAATATTTGTTTCCTTTAATTATATGAAAGTTCTCATTTTTCATGCCTCAAAACACAATCTCCCATCTTTCAAATACCCTTAGAGCAATCTATGTGTAATATGCAAGATATCTATGCTTCATTCATGCATTGTTTTTTAAATGCATGTTTGTACCTGGAAACCATTGTCTCTAACAATGGAAAAAAATATTTTAAGTAACTAAGTAACTAACTAAATAAATAAGCCAAGGAGAAAGCCAAAATCTTTACAATGCAATATAAGGATAATTTTAATTACACTGTCTAAAAGGAGAAATCAAGAATTTTTTTGAATAAGATGATGAAAAAAAATTAAAATCCAATACAGTCCAAAAAATATTGCTGGCATAGTTAGGGCTATGATATTGGTTAGTTGCTTAGTGTCTTTGTTGCCTTTGCTGCTCTGGATGCATTTAAGGATGTAATGACCCATGAAGTCCTGCTTCTCTGAGCACATGAAATTCAAAATAGCTGTGGGGTTTCCTTGAGCAGAGCTCTAACTATAAATTTGACCCAAGACACTAATCAACTAACCAAAATCATAGCCCTAACTATGTCAGCAATATTTTTTTTTTTTTACTGTATTGGATTTTAAATTTTAAATTTTTTTCATCATTTTATTCAAAAAATTTCTTGATTTCTCCATTACATCCTTGAATGCATCCAGAGCAGCAAAGGTAACAAAGCTAGTGCAAGGGCTGGAAGGAATGGCTGAGAACTCTGGGTTTGCCTAATTTAGAGAGACGGCTGAGGGGGACCTCATTGCTCTCTGCAGCTTCCTGAGGATGTGATGTGGAAGTGCTCATCTCTTCTCCTTGGAATCTCTTGACAGGACACGTGGAAATGGTTCAAAGCTGCACCAGAGGAATTTTAGACTGGACAATGGGAAGCATTTCTTTACCAATAGAGTGGTCAAATGCTGGAACAGGTTCCTAGGGAGGTGGTCAATGCCTTAAGCTCAAGCTCAGCTTTTACTTTTCTAACCCATCTCTGCATGCCCTGGCAATGCCCTAAAGTTCTCAATGGGCATTTGTCCATATTTCCATCTCTGGTCTGCCTCTCTTTTGGTTTTGAGCAGGCTCAGAAGTGGTCACTTGCTCTGGCTACCTCCCTTACCTCTAAAAGGGATGAACTGTTTCTGTGCTTCCAAGAAGACATTCTTGAAAAATTCCCAGCATGCACTGGCCCTTTAATTTTCTGTGGAAGTTTCCCATGAAATGTCTCCCAGAACTGAAATGTTGGAGTTTTTTAGTTTTGGGCAGCTTTTTTTTTTTTTCTCTTCTTTCCTTTTTTTTTTGGCTTCTCCACTTATTTAGTTTGATTCCTTCTTTCCTGAGTTAGCATAACTCATATGCGTGGTGTACTGAGTATATCGTTTGGTTAAAATTTACTTGTAAAGTGTAGAGTTAAATGAGTTCCAAAGGATGTAAACAACAGCTTTTCTATGATTCCACAGAAACTAATTTTGTTTTTCTATTACAATTGTTACCATAACACCAGCAACATGATTAGCATATTCCCAATTGTACTATTTTTATCAGTTAGAAGTGAATCATATATATTCCAGCCTAGTTTAACACAGTTGCTGATTTTCAAGGACTATGAGCTAATCTCTAACTCATTAAAATATTGTAAAGCATGAGGAATAAATGAAATAAATTTGAAGTATTCATCCATGAATTCTTAATTGCTTTAGCTTGACTAAAGCCTGGCTGGTGTCTAAATGAGCTTAAGAACAGCTTTTACCAAGATGTATCAGCCAGAGTTAATTTTTGACTCCCTTCACACCGCAGGCCTGGAAATTTTTCTGGGAGGTACCTGGGTCCCTGTCCAAGAGCTGATCACCTGGCTCATGAACCTGGCTGATGTTATCACAAACAGGAGAAAGAGAATAAGCATCATTTCAGCAGTAGAAGCATACAGACAAGCAGGGTCTTTCAACAGCAGAGCCTGTTATCTTGAGAAGGTAATTTCAGATATGACAGGTACATAGAAGTAGACAAATGCAAAAATGTCCCATGGCTTGGAAAGTTCTTCTTTATGAATTTTGAATGGTAAAATGCAGATTTCCCTTTTCACCTGGAGAGCTTCTGGAATCACACATTGTCGATATGCGGAGAAGAAAAGGATTATTGATATCAAAGTGTTCTACTTTGGCATTCTCTGTTGTTTGTAGAATCTGTGCTTGATTACTTTTCAGAGCAGAGAGCTAAAATAAAATTAAAATGGTAAATCACGGACTAGGGAACAGCAGGTTTCTGGGTCCTAGAGATTGTGAGGAAAAAAAAGAAAAAAAAGTTAGAATTTACCAGAAATTAAAATTATTGTTAAAATCTGAAATCAAAACTAATCTTTACCATATTCTGCCCCTCTTGTTTCTCTTAGCTTTTATTGCTGAGCATGATGTCATATGGTGTGGAGTATCCCTTTCTCCAGTTTGGGCCAGCTCTCCTGGCCACGAGCCCTCCCAGGCTCTTGCTCACCCAAAGCCTTCTGGCCTTTGTGGAGGAGTGTGCCAGCACTGCTCAGAAGTGGCCAAAGCATTGGTGTGTTATCAGCTTCCTCCCAAATTCAGCTGTATTTAAGGTTGTATAAGCTTAATTACAGATAAGCTTTATTTACAGCTGTATACAAAACACTGTGAGAGCTGCTATGGGGAAAACTATCTCAATCCAAGCCAGACCCAATGCACTCATGCTCCTACTGATTCCTCCAAACACGTTTTTTCTTCTCTTCTTATTCTCCTTATTTCCTGCTATGCCATTTTGAATCTAGAAAATCAGAAAAAATCAACTCAGAAAGAGATAAAACATATGTCTATTTTCTTTGTTGAGAATACCTTCCCTTAGGAAACAGGAAAGGGGTTCTTTCATAAATCAGCATTTTACTCAACCTTTACATGTCAAAACAAAATTGCAGGGTTTTGGGAAAGGTGACAGGAGAACAAACAGATCTGCAGTCTGCATACAAGATGTTCTGTAAATATCCTGAATCCTCCTGGGCCTCTGAAATCACATAAAATCACTGTGGCTAAGAGCTGAATTTACTCATTTTTGGAAAAACTTTTCTGACATTGTTTCCAGATTGTTCCATGTGAGACTTCTGGTAGGAGTTGAAATGTTTAATTGTTGCTGTTGCTCTAGTTTTCTCATTATTAAACATGTCCATCTTAATTTCTGGTTACTCAAAGCAACTGTCTTCACATTTGGGTCCTAATAAAATATTCTTTAACAGCATCTGTCATCAGCTTTGAAATAAACAATCCCTGAAATATGCTCTAGCACCATTTCAGTTGAGTTTCTGCTGTCCATAATGAAAGAATATGATTCAGTCTGAAATAGAATTAGTATTATACAGACTGAAATATCAGTTCAGCACACATTTAATGATCCTGAGGCCTCTTGCACTTGGTGCTCTGTGCAAATGTAAAATTCTCTTTCTTCAGATTTCTAATACATTTGGTTGTGTGTTAGTAGAGACAAGTTCTGCACTAAATTTTTGGTCACCCAGACCAAAAACATCAGTTCAGTCAGTGGGTCAGGCAGAGCAGACAACACCTAGGACTGCTTTTGGTCTGCTCACTGCAGAGGTCACTCTGAGCAAGAAGGCATCAGAAAAGAAAAGCTGAAAATTTGACAGACGCTGCAAGTTCAGATATTGCAGTATGGGTTGCTCTATCTCCATGAACACACTGAAGCCACATCAAAGTCTCTCATACTTTGTCTTTTGTGCTTCCTGAAAAAGGTTTCAGTGGTCACAGTAAACTCCTAATGTATTGATGAAAAGCAAACTATGAACCAAGTAGTAACTGCCTCCCTCATAGGGCTATTTGCTTCATTTTATTTCACCTCATGGCTCTTTCACTGCAGCTTTATGAACTATTTCTTTGAATAATGGAAGAATGCAGAGAAAAAAATAAATAGACAGACTTGACAGCAATAAATATCTACATTTTCACCTGGTTTTACAAAAAGATGGTTTCAGACAGCATGGAAAGTCCCTTTAAGTGTTTTTAATTCATTCTTTCCCTCTTCCAGGTTTTTGTTAAGAAGAAAATAATTTTTCTTAACTTGACAATTAATTTAGAAAAATACTCATTTAATAAAAGTATAGTGAAGTGAGAAATATTTGAAAAGTTTAATTTTTTCTTTTAAAATATAATTTTCTGGTTAGTATTTTATTTATATGAAATAATTTCTTTCAGAGAAAGGATTTCTAGAGTTCTTTATTTTTTGTTCAAGCATCACAACTGTTTCCTACTCCTTAAGCTTTTATTTAGCATATCTATACTGGTTACTTAAAAGTCAGCATGGATAACAGGGCTCAAGTAAATAGCAGCAATGAGAGAAATTTAGAGTAAAATATTTCCTTTCAGAATATTGTTAATATTTTATTTTTCTCAAAATAACTGAAAAATTAAATGGTGGATAAAAAGGAACAGTCCTTAAATTTTAGTAGTAAGACTAATTAATTTCTTCAAAATTCTGTTGTCCTCATATGACCAATTCTGTTTCCTGCAAAGCTGATGGGAAACACTGTAAAATTCACCAGTAGCAAAATTAGTGTTTATTCATTTTTATATTTTCCTTTGCCTTTCCTTTTAGCTTGCTTGTGATCTATCAAAAGAAATTATTTCCTCGAGGAAAAAAATCCAATGTTCCTGAACTGGGTAAGATTCTTTTAATTAAAAGATTTGCTGTACCTTTTTGCTGAACAAAAATACATTTCGTCTAAGTAATTGTTATCAATTTCTTACTATTACTAAATACGCTGAATCCCTCATGTTTAAAAAAATCCATTGTGATAAAACAGTTGTGGACCAAAATTAGATAACTATTGAGTGATGGAAATTACTAATGAACTCATTAAAAGATAATAAAGATAAGGGAGATGTTAAGACTATAGAAGTTCTGTGGTAATGATTGGGAGATCAGCAATGTTTCTTTTTTTCTTTTTTCCTCTAGAATATAAGTGAATTTTGGGGCTTCTTCTGTGCTTTTACACACATAGTCTAATTGCTATGATAGTTTGATAGGGTCTTTTACTACTTGAATTATTTCCATTCTGGAGAGGCAGAAGAAGTGACAGTGAAATAGAATAAATATTTGCACAGCAGGAGCAGAAAACTGCCCGAAGCTCTGCCAGTTCCAGCTGTGAGGAAATGCGTTTGCTTGGCTAAGTAGAGTTAGATCAACATTCAGATATAAATTTTTTAAAGAACCAGACTCAGAAAATTGTGTGGGGTATGCACCAACTGAGCTTCATGGTGATGAATATGTGGTGTCTTCACCTTGGAACTGGATAAATTTTTTGAACGATAGCAAATAAATAAAGTATAGTGTGTCAAGTCTCTATCATACCTGTTGTGTGTATGTTGGATTTTTCTATCTACACGTCATGCCACAGAAACTTAGTTTTGCTTGCCTTCTTGTTTTCAGGAAGCAACTCTGATGACCTCTGAATAATTTTTTAAATCTCTGAATGTAAGAAATATTCACAAACTGGTATTAATACAGAGCAAATAACATGGAAACAAAACAATTTGTACTATAAACTGATGATTCCTAACACTTAAGCCATACATAACTGAATGTTGCTTCAACATATATAACTCCTGAAGGATATGAGTGTTATGGATATTAGCTGCCATTTCATTTATTAAATAGTTCAATGTCCAATGCATTCAAAAGAGGAGAGACCATTCTCTTTGAAAGACTGTTGGAAGGCCGAATTTTTAGTGAAAATTAACTCTGGGATTGAAGAAACTTTAACAAACCTTTTTTCTTTGTACAGATTGTTGATATAATTGATATTGATCTATTAGAAAGAGCTGCTCCTTGAGCACATTTCCTATCTGCATGTGGAACACAATTAACCTAGCTCAGGGGCTTATCAGTGTAGAAAATCCATACAAAATTCCTTCTAGTCTGGCACCTAGTAAGGTCATACCTGGTAAAATAAATATACAGTACTGTGAAGGAAACCATAGCTACCTTCAGAATGGCATGAATGATTGCTTTGTTAGAGGGGACACTCAAATCCAGTGATGGCCCACTAAGGATCACAATTGTTTCATTCTGGTTCTGAAAGAGAAAAGTCCAAGTACAGCAGAGATTTTGTGTGAATGGAGGGATCCAGAAGGCGATGCGGGGGCACAGAGTGAGGGTTGCTTCCTCAGGCCTGCCCAAAATTAAAATTTAAATATGTTTGCTATATTTAAAGTATATGGCAAACAAATGGGAATAAAAATATGGGAAAACAAATATAGAAACAACCAGAAAACACATATATTCTAAGGAGCAACTGACAACATTAAAAAGAAAGGAGGAGTAAAGGCATTTAAATGGAATAAATGGGAAACCTTTCAAAATGGAAATAATATGTAGTCAAAGTCTTAATAAATGCAAAGTTTGATTATTATGAGTGATTTTATATGATTTTTCCAGAAATTAAATTTTATATTTTGGGATTTACTTTAGACCTGATGATGTATGAAATTTTCATGTCCCTGAAATCCAAGCCTGTGCTCCCCATTCTGTGGCTGAAACTCTAATATGCTGCTTTTGTGGCTCTCTTATACTGGGTATCATCTTCTTTTCACTTCCCACTTCACTCACTTCATTTTTTAAAAGAGATTTTTTCTTTGTCTAAGAGAGGGACAAATACATATCTTTTGTGTGGAGACTGAGCTATTAGACCTTTTCAGAATAAACTTTCATGTTGAAACATCTCATAACATGTAGCTAAAAGAAGAATCCCATTTCCCCCAAGAATAATGCAAAATGTGAAATTATTAGGCCTTGTAAAGTAACAGCATTTCTGTTCATGCTGAAATAGCTAAATATACATTATAGGAAATCATATGGGCAAAGATGAAGAGCCAAGATGTATTCTGGATTGAATAGTGGCTGAGTATGAATTTTCAAGATGTTATTAAAGCACCTGTTTTCCACCCTGCTCACATTTTAGGAAATTAATTCCGAAAGCTCTCAACTAATCTTATCAGGTTTTTTTTCATTGACAATTTTTATTTTTTTAATCTACACTTTGGTTTAACTTTACAACAGCTGAAAGCTGATAGATAGTAACTTTTTCTCCCTAAGTCACATTTTTGATGCCACATTTCATTAATATGTGAAGCTATTTTCTCATACATACTGTCTTTGTTTCCATTCTATCTCAACATTGCACACACTGTTTTCTTCAAACGCATTCACAACATCATATGGCAAACTACAGAAGTCCACCCAAAGCACTGCAGTCATTTACTCTGAGACACCACAACTCTCCAGGAAGCAAAGATGATCAGCCTTTGCTATGCAGACCAGAGAGGTGAATCATCTGATCCACAGTATCAGCTGGGTGCAACTGGTATTACTTGGACTATTTTGAAAATCAGCCAGACACACACAGATGAAGGATAATTGCTTAAAATTTTAGGAGATGAGCTAAGCAGTTTAAGTGAAGTAGCCTCCTTACCCATCATTTCCCTGTGCAGCAATGCGTTTTCCTTCCCATTGTTGAATCAGAAAATCAAACCAAACCCAAAACCAAAAAAAACCCCACTCTCTTAGATTCAAATGGATTCTGTTTTTGAGTTAGCAGTAAGACATTTTAAACTCTGAAGTGTTGAATCCTAAATAGCCACTTTTGGGACATTTTACAAGATATTGCATGTCCTGAATGAAACCATTTTTAGGATGATCTAGTTTGTATTTATTTGCAGTGCTTCTCATTGAAGCTAGAGATTGAAAGCAACTCAGTATTACCTATACTCAATATTTTATTTTTCCCTAGCTAGAAATATGTTACATCAAATATGCATCCCTTCCAAACCTGTCTGAGTTTGTGAGGGGAATGCAAATTGATTTTCTACAGGAGTGTTGTCTCAAAAACAAAGCACTAACTGACACATTTAAAGCTTCAGCACAAACATGAGAGATTCTATGAACACAGAGATTGATCTATTCTATTTTGTTTCATTAAACTTGTTCCTTCTAGGTGCCTTCTAGGAAAAATAATGTGGAGACAACTTTTGATGTGGAGTGAATAAAATGAGGACTTTAGGCTTCACAGCCATAAATCTGGTGTATCTGAAGAGCAGTATGATCAACTTTAAAACTTAAAGAAAAAAATACTCCCATATTTCTTCAGTCAAAGTGTATTTATATAGCAGGAATGAATAAAATAAGCTTCAATATCTTTGGTAAAGATTTATTCTGTGTCAGTTCTTTGAGAAATTTAGAAGAAAGCAGCAAGGAGCACTGTCATTTTATCTTCAGTTACAGATTACGGATAGTTTTCTTAACCTGGGATTTAAACCAAAACATATTTTCTCACAAACTAAAGTGAGCTAAAAAGACATATGTTGCCAGTGAAAAAACGTCAGGGTTTTTTTCTCACCAGCCAGCCCACAAGCAAAATGAGCTGTTTAGTCTTGTAGGAGGGCAAAGTGGATATACATTCTGAATTTTCCTTCAGAAAAATACATTGTGTTTTCTTCCAGATCTGCTAAGAAATTGTTCTATAACTCCTTTTTCCATTCAGCCTGCTGTGTACAGTATGTAAGACTAGGAGAAAATAATTTTTTAGCATCTTACCCTCCTTTTATACTGTTATTTAAAGAAATACTTTGGTCTAATAGCCTCACAATCTTCCCCAGCAACTTTGTCACCACATACTGTAAACAATATGCCAAAACAAAATTAACTTTACAGATTTGTTCAGTTTACATTCTCTGTAATTAAGTTGAAACTGAAATGCAGGCTACTATATATCCAAATTCAGAATTCTGTTGCCAGAATCAGACTTTATAATATATTTATGCTTTATCTGCTGCAGGACCATAAATTAAAAAGTAATATAAATTAATTTTTTAAAAAATTATCATTAGACCAACTGTAGCACCAAACACAATAAAATGATCATTAGACCTAACTGTAGCATCAAACACAATTGTAGAATCATTTTTCTATTTTATTGTCTTCCTCTTCAATGTCAAAAATTTTTTTCCATATGAGGAAGAGAAAATCCTCTTTTGGCTCAGTCATGAGTACTGAATTTGGGTTTTAATTTAGTATTTTGATAATCACAATCCACTTAAGGTACGTAAGCATGTTACTCTCATATTTCAGACCAGTTTAAATATGCCTCTGCAGCTAAAAATATAGATAAAAGTGTGTAAATCCTCTCAGCTTCTGGCTTTTCCTGTGAGCCTCATCTGGCAGTCTAAAATTCTCTTGAACTCCATGGGAGTGTCCATGTCATAAAGGTTTCTAACTTTAAAAAACTCTGAGGTTAATACCAAAATAATGTAGTGTAGTACAAATTGGCAAAATTACCTTTCTGTGTGAGAGGGTAATAAAATCCTCTCCTCTTTGGAAAGGTTCAACCTGAGAGCAGATTTTCCTTTAAAACAGAATGCTTTTCTTCTTTTCATTGCTTGGAAAAGAAAAATATGCTTTTGTTGGACAGTGCTACTTGTACAAACACTACCTTATTTCCTTGTTTTCCCCATCTTCTCTCCTATACATAGGTGAAATTAAAGAATGTCCAGACATTTTTAATGACCCTGGATAAGTCTTGTCTCAGATGCTGTCAGACAACAGAAAGTTACTCTATGCACTTTAAGTAACAATCTGTCTCCAGCATTTTTTAATTCTGAATAGC